ATATATATATATATATATATATATATATATATATATATATATATATATATATATATATATATATATATATATATATATATATATATATATATATCATCTTGAACTGTAATTCTCAATGCATGCATCGATCGGCATCAAAGAACAGGAAAGTTTGCTGAATTAGGGAGATCCCAGTGATGGGCTATGGAGTTGGATCTGTGTTGCATGCACCAAAAGCTTATATACTGTTCATAAAGGGAGGAGGACATGTTGCATCGTTACAGTATAGATTTTTCTAGAAACGGACGAGGTTGATTGCATGCAGTAAGACTCTAATTTCGATCATTGGTTGATGAGGCAAATTAAGGTTTGAGTTATGGCAAAAGAGTTGATTCATCAGGTATCGTCGTCTAGGGTTTACATGGGCAATATTATCCGATGAAAGCATCAACGAGGAAGAAGACAACAGGGTTAAAAGACAGTGTTCTCGTGTTAACGCAGCCACCGCAGGGAACAAAGACTTGACCCATCGCAGTCTTTTCACCGTTCCATCGGACGTGTCATCCCCTACAGCGAGCTTAGGGGAGGGGAGGGGGGGTGTATGTGATCCAAACGAGTGGTGTTTTCGTGGGGAGAGCGAAGGACAGCGAAGTCTACAGCCCGAGGAGGCGTGATCCATGAGTTGTGTTTTCCTGGGGAGAGCAAAGGACAGCAAACCCTACAGGTTCGAGGGCGTGAACAGCGGCTAGTTTTCCTAGGGAAAAGGACGAGTTAGCGGTGTTGATGCGATCGATTCCGAACACTGATGCCAGGATGGTTAAACCCTGGAGAGAAAAGAGCAGTTCCTTGTTGCTTTTGTTCTCAGATTCTCCCTCTGCCGTCCTGCCAAGGGGTCATTTCAACCAAAAAGCCTGAGAGGAGAGAGACGCAGCACGTCCAATCGGAAACTGTTTAGTAGTAGTGATGATGATGTATGTAGCTACGAGCTCTGCGTCATCTCCTTCTTCGTTAGAGACAGGTTTTTCACCTCTACATAAATGACGACGACAATTACGCATCTTATTTCATGCATCACGGATGAGCATGCATGCCTAGGTGATGGCAAGAATACTCGCACAGAAGATTCGAGGGTTCTAAGTCACTGTTCTTGATCCATGTTGTGCGAGTCCATCTAGGTGATGGCAAGCTACACTGAGCTAGAGAATGAGCTACACAACGTTGCAATCTCGATGAACAAAGGCGAAGCACAGTGACAGACCTAGTTTTCTGCAACTCAATGTGGAGGCACATCTAGTTATCTGCACTCTATGTGAAGGGCGCATGCAGTCGCATTCATCTTTCGGAAACGCTGTCTCGTTCTTCAGTTCCAACCTCGTCCTTTTTGGATGGATGTCACATGCACAAGGCCACAACTGATGTGCTAAGTCGAGCATCGAGTCTTGTTGAGACACAGCAAACACTTGTAGTTTGTTGTGCAGTGTTCAAAGAATTCAACATAAAACGGAGGACACCTAATCGAAAATGCAAGGAACATCATTCATGCAAATGTCTGATGAGTGGTACTTGTCCGGTGCAAGCTTTGGGATCATGTGGTGTGATCACATCAGTTTGTAATATAGTAGTTTAATTGGGGTTTCTGACATCCAAACGTGGAAGAGAACATAAACAACTGATAAAACTGGGATAACAAGCACGGAGAGAATGGAGTTGTAAGCAGCTGTGGCAGACAACCGGAATCAAATCGGGCTGCAAAGCTTTCGAGACGACTGATCCTTTCATGGTTATCCATGTTTAGACTTTTCAGTGAGACTGCGTTGCACCAAACAACACCCTCAACGTGGAACAGTGTTGCCACTTCGCTCGATTTGTCTGTTCATGAGTCCTTTGGTCGACCTTCACAGTGCGGGGGAGATAAAAAATGAGACAGCGAGGGAGAGAGAGGGAGAGAGGGGTTTTGCTCCTGAAGTACGCACGCTAGATTCGAAGGACCAATACGTGGAAAAGCTTACAAGGGTGGCACTGGTTGTACACAGTCGTTCAGTCGATACGACGGTGGTGGAACAGCTTCTACCCTCACACAATGCTCCTGCAGCGATCACTGTACATGAGCTGCATTACACATGAGAGTAAAGTTGAGATATCACGTAAAGGCAAAAGGGCTATAGTGATAACAAGAAGAGAACATGAACGAGTATTATTTTATTGCTTGATGTGATGTCAAAGCAGGATTTTTAGCTATTTAAAGGAGATGTGGATGGAGTGAAACCATGGTCACCAGTTAGATCTCATCTTCCCCTGTCTCCCTCTTCAGATCCTTGGCTTCTCTTATTTTCTTCTTCCTTTGCTGTTGGTTCTGTGTGTTCCTCTGAACGGTCGTATTGACATGGGATCTGCAAAGAGAGCTTCCTCCAGTCCACTCATGGGTGACCATGGGATTTGATTAGCTGCCGACTCATTCATCCACATGCCTAGCAGCAGGTGAGCGATTTGCTTGGCAGATGAGTGAATGATGCGGGAGGTAAGTCGGATCCCATGCCATCGTTGCTTGGACTGAAGGGAGCTCCCTTATCTTCCGACCCCATTCAAATGGTTCTCCTGTTTGGTCTCCCTGCATGCTGTACTTAAACCACTGATGCTTCATGACCATACTAATTTGTCTGAGAGAAACTCTGAACTTGAAATGCATTCTTTGTCAGGCCATACTCCTCCTTACCAGACAATACAAGTTTCTGCAGAGAGAAACTCTTTGTTTCCACTTTGGTTGGGTGTACAAGTTTCTGCAATCTCTACAGTGAGCTCAACAAAATCTACATCTCAGACTAACTCATTTGAGCTAGAAAGAGCAGCTTGTGACATCAGATATGGATGTTTATGCTCATCTTGTGTCTGTACTGATCATGTTGTTTGGTGCTGAACATTATGTCAGTATCATCACCTTTTTTTGTGCAGGATGTCAGCTTTTACTCCTACTTTGGCCACCGACTTCGTAGGATCAAGTGGCAGAGAAAGAGTTGCCGTTACTTGGATCTCTCATTGACTCATCCACTTTATCATGCTCAGTCCAGTTCTTGTAAACCCTAATGAGGCTGGCATGAGGAAGTGTTCACAACATTAATTATCTGTGGCCATGCATGCTTTCGTGCTTCGAGTTCGTAAATGCCATTAGGGTTTGTTTACATTCATGAAGCCTTTGTTCTTCGTTGCAGCATGGAGCCCATGATCTCACTTGTTATACCTGAATCTAATTGACCTCTTTGTTCTTGATTCTAAGTGTAACTTGTGCTTTCTTGATGATCATGCTATGTTTCTTTGTAGAATTTCTTCCCCCTTGGAACAAGATAGATAGTCTTGTTGTCATCCATGATTTTTGGTTGTCTAGTAGCAAATTTTAGACATAGATCCTTTGAAGTTCTATTGATATCTTTGACTATCTGCAGCAGGGTCCTTGTATTTCTCTGTAAGAATAAATGGCTAAATCTTTCAATTATTTTCCTTTGTAATCACCATAGAAATGAAGGGAACATTGTAAATAGTCACTGTATATGTTTGATCAACTTTTTTCTTATGATATGGTTCCAAATGATTTATAGAGCACATTATACTTCTGCTATTTGATGAAATCTCACTATAAGCTTTATGATATGAATGTTCTTGTTATGTTTGAATTGGTGACTGGAAATGCCATAGAAATTGGATGTTTGGAGTTCCCTTCTTTGATTATTTTTTGGAGTTCTATGTTTAAATGAAGCCTAACAAAATACATTTCTCTCTTCTTTACTTTTCCAGTAACCTTTTTTATCCTTTTTTTTTTCTCTATCTGAACTGTTTTGACTTCTTGATCTACTCTTTCAGCTTTGTATTTTTGTTATTCCAATACATTTTTTTCCGTGTTAATGTGTAGTTATTTGTGCAGGTATAAACTGGTTATAATTTGTGCATTACATTTTGGCTTTTTTGGCTACAAGATCACATGTCTCTCAAATGAGAATGTGCTCTTTGCTTTCTCTGTGTTGCTAGCTTTAGATGAACTCTCATTATGTTACTAATGTTGGGGTTGAGGCAAATTTGATGTGGTGTAGCATTAGAGTTGTGGTCTGTGCATCTTAGATTTGATTTCTTCGAGTCCTATTGACCCATTGAATGTATTATACATGGATCTCTTATTAAGAGCAAGTGCACTTGCGATTGTGAAGGCTACAAAATTAGCCACATCCAGTACTGTACTTGAAACCAAGAAGTAAATGTACAAAAGAGCAATTGTGGTGTGTCTGCAGGCATTCATCAATAGTGCATTATTTTGTCACAGCAAACACTTGTGCATGATCTCAATGTGTCGTACAAATGTTTACTATTCTACGAGCTTAGAGCCAAGCAGTGTACTGATCAACAGAAGAGACAGCACCAGGTGAAAACCCAGACCCTAAATGTGTGTGTTGGCACTGTCTTCCCAATACCTGCAAGAGTTCTTCATATTCAAATGAACTTGCAGCAGAAACTGAGCTTTACCTTGCAAAGACTTCCTTTTCCAATGCAATCAGGGAAGCCACACTGCTGCATATTTTATGCAAGAGAACTCTGTTTCCAGATCTTCCCAATCTGGTCCTCATTGGTGAACTCAGAGGTCTAAGCAACATGGGGAGCATATATTAAAAGCCTTCTTGAAATCTTGCACTTAATGTAGGGTAAAAACCAGATTGACAGATCGTGAAGGCCACAGTACTATTGGCTCTTGTGTCGTATTCTCAAACAAGTGGCAATAGTACAACATGACAGAAAACCGCAGGGTTCCTATTGGATCTCACTGATACAATATACAGTTTAAGTTCCCAAATGGGAAAAGTATGAAACGAGGCTTGTAGTCCTTTTTGGTAACGCATTGAAGAAATGAGGCCACAGTGATTAGGGTTCTGACGCATGAAACTTGTTTTTTTTGTCTGATCTCAAGTCCAACGCATTGGCTATGGTTGTATACATAAGCACATACCCTCAAAAGATGATATTGCCAATTCTGTTCCGGCTGAAGGAGGTTGATGATGATGATGACGATGATTCACGTGTTCTTGATGACTCCATGGCCATCCCTGCCCCATATGAAGATAATAACATTGGTTTTAGTTGGTCGCAAGAAGACAACAAGCCTTCTCAGCATGAACGGTGACACACTCTTTAGCTTACTAAGCAGACAGCATTTGGTTACCTCATCAGCGATGGCACTGTGAAATCATCCATTTTGCCCTTCTCTTCATATGAGAGCTGCTGAAGCATTCTGAGGATGCAAATATTGCAACAGATATTTATGCTTAATGCCATACCTTCAATGGGTCAGGAAATCTCGACCGAAGGCTTTGGGAGAAATGTAGGAGCCACTCACCTGAAAGATGCATTGCATGTAAGATACTGATCTGGTTTTGTAGTAAATGAGTAAGAAAGGAATCTATTGGACACAGCTATAATTTCATGACATGTTTCTGCATCATAGAAGTGTGGTAGGTCTGACAACTAATTAAAGCATGAATTATACCATGTTGGTGCATCAAGCTACAAGTGCATGTTTCCACGTAACCTTGTCTGCTACTTCATGAAGGTTCAAGATGATGACTCTTATCTGAAAGTCGAGCATCAGCACTAACAACTCTAGGCTGCAGAGAAAGATTCTCACATTTCTGAATCGTTTGATTTGCTAAAATGACGGGTTTGGACGTCACACTCTCTGCACTGCTTTGATTGATCTGGATAAGGGAACAATCCTTATCTTGCAATGCAACCCAAACGAGGAAGATTCCTGAGTGCTTCCAATATATTGAGAGAAAAGAACTTGATGCGGCGTACTGAATCAAGCATCTTGGTGCTGCTGAGAAGCTCTCCTCTTCAAACATTCAACTAGCTTACATTGTGGTTGCAAACAAGAACTGGTACAAGTTCTCTTGCAGATTCAAAGAGACGCAACATATGCTCATCAAGGTATTGCAAGGCAGCTACCTGTAAAATCAAGTGACCAGATTAATGGTTGGAAGACATACCTCGCCAAGGACCATAATGGGATCACCAAGCTCAACTCCTCGTGTCATTAGTTTTATTACCGTGCTGTTTGTGTCAGCCACTTGTAAACGAGAAGAAATTAGTAATATATCAGCTGCTGATTAGCAAAATATATCAAAGGAAAAAAAACTAATCCCTCTCTCTCTCTCTCTCTCTCTCTCTCTTACTTACTTACTTACTTACTTAACTTACTACTACT